AGGCCCACGCCCAAACGCAAGTCATCCAGTCTGTCAGGACTGTCGAGGTCGCATGACATCGATCCGGCTCCGTTGTTATCCTAGCGACCTGGCCCAGTAAACAATCCAACGAGTTTCCTAGGTGGTGCCGTAGTCGTCGACGGTGCGCAAACAGGCCAGGTGCTCACCGCTGTACTGTACATAGTTGGCTCACCATCACCGATCACCAATGAGTTTCTCCCTACATGTAACCACGTTGCTATAACAAATTATCCCCTATTCCCGACGAGCTCTTCCGGATAGGCTGTATGTACATCTGTCTGGCCGATGAGATTGTTCTGAACATTGACGAGTTTATACCACCAGCAACCATCGCAGCGCCGGTCCTCCAAGGCCATGAAACAGTTTGGCCCACTGCGGAGAGCACCCTCACCCTCTTTCAGAAACCTCCATTCCTGCAACCTTGGCCGTTCTTGGCGTCTTCTGCTGGCGTCGGTATGGGCAATCCTATGTGCTCCGAAGGCCAAATCAGTCGTTGCAGATGAAGCACATCGACGTATCGTCAACCCCCTAAGAAGGTGATATACCCCCTTAATCCGCGGCAAGTGGCAACGCGTACATGGGCCACGGGACATATCATACCGAAGGTAGTCATTCGTGACGCCAATGGAGTCCTGCGCGAAGTTCCAGCAACTGTTGAGCGCGAAACTGTGCAAGTTGGGCAACCCAGGGATTCGGGTGCGGACACGCTAGTTAAAGTGGAAGGGGCCTGGTGTTATTTCTAACGACACGCGATTGTTGAGGACGGTTTGACGATGTTGACGAATCGAACTGGGGGCCGCGATAGAGAGGAGGGAGGAGAGTAGGAAAGGTGATAGTAACTACCGCTTGACTACTTCACTACCTATGGTGCTACACTACCCGGGGGGGGGGGGGGGGTGAAAGTAGGAAGGAAGAGTTCACTCATATAGTCAGGCTAGGTGCTATGGACGCGTCGGACCTCAGAGGAAGGAACTACAGACAGAGACTGAAGATGGTGGTAGCGGAGCAAGCGTTACCCCTGACGAACTACAGATGAGGACGGGCGAGGGCACGGATGACTAGGACCTTTGCTAAATACAACATCAACAACAGGCAAATGCTATCTGTAGGAACAGGAGCTACCGCCGCAATAGAATGAGCACCTCCATGGCGGGTACTGAATAGTCACCTTACCAATGGACTTTGAAATGAATATACTCGAGAGCAGGGAGCAAGGTATATAGATAGTCTATCCCGTACATGAACGTGGTCGTCGCATCCTGAACTGTACCAAAAAACCAAAACATCAATCATTCCGCGGCTGGCCCGGCAAGACCCCATCCATGTATCAGACATCAACACATCAAGAGACATGATCGTTTCGAGCCAAACCCAAAAAGAAAACAACGTAGACAATACCCCTGACTGAGAAGAGCAGACGGAAAGGGGTGGGGGGAACAGCAGAGCCGTCGGTTAACAGACAATGAAAACAGACATGACCTCCGCCCAACACCATCTATCCATAAGCCTTGCCATTCTGCAGTCGGATCAGAGAAAGAAGAAAAAAACAAACACCAAACTCAGAAAAGGACCTTGTCATGTTATATGCCAAAAAGGCATCAAACCACCGAGCATTCCACATCATTACCCCATCACCACTGCACCCTCTCCCACCCAACCCTGAACCCGAACCCAACCTCACTCCTTGATCGCATCACCAGCACCAGCACCATCCTCCTTCTTCGCACCAGCCCCAGCCCCGGCACCAAACGCGCTGCCCATCCAGCCGACCCAGCTCTGCCGCTTGCTCGCGGCCGCGGCCGCAGCAGCAGCCGCCTGGGCCTCAGCATTCTGGCTGACGAGCCTCAGAGGGCGGGGCTTGTTACCCGCAAAGGTCGCACCCGTACCCGTAGGACGCTCCCTTTCGTGGTGCGACCGGGGCGGGCTCTGGCTGGGCGGGGTGGACACGTCGCTGTTGTTGCTATTCCCGACACCGCCGCCCGACACAGACTCGCCGCTGGTGCTGCTCGTCTCGCTCTTCATGCCGGGGAAATTCCCCGGCACGCCTCCGCCATTGCCACCACCAGAGACGGTGTGTGAGCTGCTGGCGCCACTGCTCGCGCGGTTGCCCGCACCCTGCGGCGGGAGGAAGAAGGTTTGGCTTGAGCGTAGCGAGGGTGATAAAGGTCCGTCCGGCGTGCTGACACCCTTGTACATGGCGCTGACGATGCTGGCGGCGCCGAGCCCCCCCGTGTACTGCTCGCTCATGGGCCTACCACGGCGAGTGCTGGATGCGCGCGTCAAGCCGATGGGGATGCTGGGCGCTGTCTCCGGGTTGCTGATGGCGGACGGGGTTGGGTTGGCTGAGGGAACATAGGTCATGGGCCGGGGCTTTGGCTTTGCGGTTGTGGTTGTTGTGGGTGCGGTAGTAGTAGTGCTGCCACCGGCCACTATTGACTTGGCGCGCTGGAGGAGAGATGGGCCTGCGGCGGGCTTGCTGGGCGGAGGCGGGGGTAGCTCCTTGTTGGTGTCGGGCGTGGCCTTGTAGTCACTGGATTGGTCGAGGATGTGTTCGAAACCTTGGTGTTGCAACAGCCGCTCTATTATCTTGTTGATATAGAGGGTCAGGGCCTTATTCTGATCCTCGGCTCGCTTGAGCTCTGTCTCGAGCCGCCGCGTCTCGGAGTCCTGTTCGTGATGATCGTTGTCGGCAGCCCCAGAGAGCTCGTCGGCCAGGCTGGTGCCGCTCGTCCGGCCCTCGAGGGCGGCTAGGGCGTCCTGGTTTGCCGGCGCGCTGGCCGAGTAGCTGAAGTCGCTCGTGGTGAAGTCTCCCTTGAGCGTGCGCTCCTGTAGAAGTAGCTGATAGCTTTCGTTGTCTTCCATTAGCCGGGCGTTGGCCACGCGGGCTTCCATCAGCTGACGCTCGACTTCCTGAAGCCGGCCGCCGCCCTGATTCTGCGATTCGACCAACTTGATTTGCGCCTCGGCCAGCTCTAGCCTCAGTGATTCGATCAGCTTGTCCTTTTGCAGCAACAACTTGGAATTGTTGCGCGAGTCGCTGCGCTGAATCGAGGATGGCGGGGCAAAACTGCCATTGTCGATGCTTGGCGAATTGTTCACCGCTGTTCAGGGCGAACAAAGGTTAGTTGAGGTCCTGCGGCATCATGTAGATGTGCGATGTGGAAAGGATAAGTGGACGAGGTAAAAACCTACATTGTCTCGTTGGCCTGTCCTCGTCGAGGTTCCTTTGCGCTAGGCTGTCCTTGAGTCTCTGGATCACGGATTGCATCTCTTCCTCACGATTCGCCATTTCCTCCTTTTCTTTCATCATAGCACTCCGCTCAGCTTCATATATGTTCTCCATTTCACGCATTTGCCGGGCGGCCTCGCGCTTTTCGTTAGTCAGAGCCTCGATTTGCTCCTCGCTCTCATGCACCTTCTCTTCCATCTTGGCCTGTTCCTTCAGGGCATCATCCAGCTTGCTCTGCAACACCTCAGCCTGCCGCTTGTACGTCTCGCACGCAGATTCGGCCTGGGCTAGGCGATCCTTTAGATCGTCTATTATTGCTACCGTCTCGGCGCGGATAGCCTCCTCGCGCTCCATGTCAGCGGAGCTGTTGGCTTTCCCGTTGGCGTTGCTTCCATTTCCCAGCAGCGACTCGCGCCGCTGTGACGCGGCAGCACGGGCCGAGACCGGTGTCCCTGTACGAATAGAACGGCTGCGAGCCACGCCAGTGCCAGCGCCGCCGGGGCTGCTTGCTGATGAGGGTGTCGAGGCTCTTGGAGTCGGGCGTTGCGGTGTCCCTGTGGGCGTTTCGCGGCCTGTTGCCGGAGGCTTCTTGACGACAGCGGCCATCTTCGGTTGCAGCAAGGCTGCTTTAAGAAACGGGCGACTTTCTTCTGCGTTTTCGCTTCTTCCCTAAGGCATACAAATCCGCCTTATGCAATCTAAATGTATCATAAAAGTTCCGTTTCAAAGCACTTTGCGCGTGGTGGAGCGAAAGATGTTTTAGATGGATGTTCAAGCGGCGGTCTCAACTGTACACGTGCGGAGGATATTTGCTGCAAGAGTGTTGTACTCGGCGGCGAGGCGCGGTGTTTGAAAGCCACGGGCGCTCAGGGCCCGGGCGTCTCCGGTTGCTGGGCCCCGACTCCAGCAACAAGGGGACAGCGAGACAGGGGAAGGCCCGTCAGACCAATCAGAGCCATAACCACCCTTTCCAGCCCTGGGGTGGCAGGGTTGTTCCCAGAGGCGGTGTTCGTGCTCTTCGCTGCGCTCTGGAAAATTGTGAAATGGTTACAGAACTCGCAGCTACATATGTTTGACTGACTCGCCTCTACATATTTTCATACGTAAAATTCGTTCTGTTTCTAGTTATAATTCTACTTCTTACGAGGAGCAACTGGTTCATTTTCCGGGTGCAAAGACAAATGCTTGGAGGCCGTCAACGCTCGCGCGAAGCCGTCGGTTCCGCTTCACCTCAACTTCTCCCGTTGAGCGCTCCATTGAGTCCATCCTCGTTGTTTCGACATCCCGACGATCTGCCGAAAACAAACGATTACTCCCGCTGCACATCCATGCCACGAATGCCCGGTTGAACTCAACAAGGAGTGGAAGCTCTTGTGAGATGTTTCTGTTTTCGGCTGATTCCCGAGCACGAGAACACGCGTTTCGCACCAATGCAATGCCCATACCGGTATACGTAGTATTTTCGATGATCAACGGCTCGTCGGCTGCAACTAGCGGGCGCATGATCCCTTGGAGCACCCTGTAGCAGGAAAGTTTGGATGGATGTGGGCGGGTTTGATTACCGTAATCTAGCGTTCAATGCAAGCTGGAGCGACTTTGTCATTCCGGCAAGGCCACCCCATTCCCTGACCAGACCAAACTCCTGAAGCGCGGACTCTTACTCCGGTTTCTGGAACGTGTGTCCTTGCCACTGCCTCCCGTGTGCTCACACGAAAAGGCTCGCCTCGGAAACAACCATGGTCATGTACGAACAACTTATTCGCGTTTCGAGCGATCTCTCACATAACCACCATGGTGGCGATAGTGACTTGCGTGGAGCCGGAGCAGGCTAGGAAACCGAGTTGTCATAAACTACGCCTAGTCTATGGAGTGCACCCTGTGGAGCAAACTCGGATGTCGAAGATGGCCGTAACAAATCTTGTTTTAGGCCATATCGCCAAGTCGTCATGCCGTTTTTCCGAATTCAAAGCCCAACGCCGTTTGAATGCCAACCGATCCCTTATGTCCACATTAAGCCTGCTGGTCGTTGAGAATATCACTGTCACCAGCATCCAGGATGGCCATAGTAGAGCAGCGGAAGAGCTTGCCGCAGGCGGTACCGAGCTCAATCTGTCGCAAGAGAAGGTAAGCATGGGAACAGGTACCCTCCAAAGTCTGCAGCGAGACTTCTTCTCTGGGTAAGCCGGAGGAACCAAGGGTTCCTGCGGCGGCAACAACGAGGAGCAGCAAAGATCCCATTGCATCCATTCGAAGTGTCTCGGGAAACATCATGGGGTGAACTTACGTTGGTGCCGCTGTAATGGTGGACCGAGGTCTTGGACATCATCGAGTAGCTAAGCAGTAAGTTAGCTCCAATCTCTTTCTTAGAATTCGGCCCTCGGATAAGAGAAATCGATGCGAGACACTCGTCTGGTAGCAATGGCCGGGCCGAAGCTACCGTCCACAGGTTCCCGGCAAGGTTTTGATCGAATCCCTCTTGCAGTGGCCGTAGGGTGACACATACTACTCGAGCTCGGACTTGCGGAGCGGAGGAGTGTTGGCCTTCAACAAGGTTAGCACGGTGCGGTTTTGGATTGCTGAATGGGAGGTGCTGCTTACGGCGATGAGAATGAGCTTGGCCTTCCCACTGCGGAGCGCCTTGAGGGTGCTCCGGTAGCCCAGCACAACCTTGCCCGACTTGATGACGAGGGCAAGCTGTTGCCGAGGTCAGCAAAGCTTCCTTGAAGCCGTCGGAATTTACTGAGACTGACCTTGGCGCCGATGGACTGGGCGTCGGACTTGGACTTCTTGGGAGCCATTTTGACGGTGCTGCGGTTAGTGGGACGGTATTGCGAAAATGGCTTGCGGTGATGAAGTTGTCGTCGGCAACAGGAAGGCAGAAGACCAAAGGTAGAGAAACATTACTGCAAATATTACAGTGGAAATTCTTACGCTAAGTGGGCTCAATTCTCATTGGTCGGATTGCCTGTTCCCTCCAAAGCCCTAAGCGACCCACTTTTCTATTACAGAACGCCTCCGGCTGATGAATCTGGATTGGTAATCGGGCGGCGAATTTCCAGCCGGTTCAGAAAAGCAGAGGTTTCAAAAGGAAACCTCCCTCCCACTCCGAGAACCCGGAACCCAAGCGACATCATATCCGTGGCATCGCCCAGATCAATCAGTCAAAATGGCGCGCCGTCCTGCTAGATGCTACCGGTACTGCAAGAACAAGGTAAGCAGACTTGATTGTTGTCAAGGAGTTGCAGAACCGCTGCCGGTGTTTTTCGGCAACGACATTCGGAATGGCCGGCGTTGGCAGGACCGGTATCACTTTGCTGACGACAGTCGCTTCACGGGTTCAGTGAGATTCAATCGCTAACACTTCATCGTTCTAGCCGTACCCCAAGTCGCGCTTCAACCGTGGTGTGCCCGACCCCAAGATCCGCATTTTCGATCTCGGCCGCAAGCGTGCTACCGTCGACGATTTCCCTCTCTGCATCCACCTGGTCTCCAACGAGTATGAGCAGCTGAGCTCCGAGGCCCTCGAGGCCGCCCGCATCTGCGCCAACAAGTACCTCGTTAAGCTGGCCGGCAAGGAAGGTTTCCATCTCCGTGTCCGTGCCCACCCTTACCACGTCGTCCGCATCAACAAGATGTTGTCCTGCGCCGGTGCCGATAGACTGCAGACTGGAATGCGTGGCGCTTGGGGCAAGCCCAATGGTACCGTTGCTCGTGTCAACATCGGCCAGATCATCATGAGCGTCCGCACTCGTGACTCTAGTGAGTAGCTTCATGCTTTACGGCTCAAACTGCAGACGAGCTGACCATGGTATCAGACCGCGCTATCGCTCTGGAGGCTCTCCGTCGCTCGCAGTACAAGTTCCCCGGCCGGCAAAAGATCATCATCTCCAAGAACTGGGGTTTCACGCCCCTCCGGCGCGAGGAGTACCTGGAGAAGAAGGCTGCTGGCCGGGTCAAGGTGGATGGTGCTTACGTCCAGTTCCTTACCAACCATGGCAGCTTGGAGACCAACATGAAGCGGTTCCCGGATGCTTTCACCGCTTAAGTTGGGCTCAGGGCAATGGGATGGTTTGATTTGGCTTGAGGCTGGCGTAAACGGTCATTTTAGGGCTGAAGCAAGAGCATGTTAGTAGTATCATGGGCTTGGTTTGGCACAGTCAATGGAACCATTCACCAAATGGATTATGAAATGGGACAAACTGAGCCGTGGTGCATTTCTGTCCGTTCGGTGGGCTCCGTTTCCGTCGCCGGCGTCAGAGTGTGCAGCCAAAGTTTGGTACGTTGTGCACCAAGTTGGCACAGCGAGACCGGCGGATCCGAGGAAAATGAGTGGGCTGAGCCAGGCGAGATCAAGGCAGCCTATGAAACGGATACTGAGGACCGAACTGCTAGGTAAGCAGATCACCTGGGAAGGAGCCGCATGATGACCTCAGACGTGATGACCTCAGATCGTGGGCGGGGATAATAGGGGTAGTTGGATAACGGTTGCTAATGTGACATCATTCACGCCTTCCAAAGTCAGAACAATTCAGTCGAATGTCTACGCTCTGTAACACTTCAAAGGGAGTTTGATGGACTGGATGCCGACAGGACGAAGGTCTTAAGGGCGTTGGAAACCTTCTAATCCTTATCTGATACCCCGACTTTGTGCCTGCTGGCTAGCTCAATGTTAAATGCTTCCGAGCTAAGCGTGGCGGTGATTTCTGCGTAGTCCTCCCCCACGCGAGATTATCAGTCAGGCCCGTCAGGTTATGTGCTCAGGGAGTCTTTGCAACAGCTGTCTGACTCTGGTCCCCATAGGTTTGACAAGACGTCTCTGATAACGCCAAGGTCCAGAAGACTGTTACGCTACGTATCCAAAGGAGTGGCATGATGTGGAGCCGGCTGGGCCCATCTCCGCGACATCGCGATACCAAGATGGACCAGCTCGAGGTGTAAGGTGGCCTTTGAACTATCTGTTTAATGCTGCGCAACCAAGCCATTGGAAGATGCGAAGATTTGTAACTTCCAAGATCAGCCGACACTAGCAGAGTTAAGTTAACCTGAGTACATAAGGTAGTGATTTGTGCAGTGCTCTACCGGTATCTGTAGATGCGAGGGTCAGGCGGTGGTGGGGCAGAAATGGCCAGGGTCCTCAGAACCACTAACATCGTGCCGATTATGTCCCCTCATAACAACAAGAAGCCTGATCAGACCCCGTGCTGCGGCGCTGGCAAAGAGACAACTATCAACCCTTTTGCCCCCAACTCCCGTCTACCGGGGCCTGCCACATCTCTTTTCGCAATTCCGGACTTGTAGGCGGTGTTTTAGCCGCGATCGTGGGCGTCGACGGTGTCACAAAGTTGCGGTTGATCAACGTTATCGCCTTGCGATTTCAGCTGGGATTGAATCATCGTCATCCATCCTTCACCGACCTTAACAAACAACGCCGCCTGCAGCTCGTTGACCGTCTTTCATGAAGCAAACGACCCAGGCTCTCCATACTTCGCCGGTAACTTGAACTACACGCAGGTTGCTGTTAGCGCAAGCCGGATTCTAGGAGACAGGCATTGTGAACCCAATACACGTCCTTGCGGCCCACCTTCGGGCTCGAAATCCGACTTGAAAACCCCCAGGAAAGCAGCATGGCCTTCCAGCAACCGACCCGACAACTCCCTCAACGGATAACCCGTGTTGAGTCAGGCGATGGAGAGTCTGCAGTTCTCTCGCGCCCGGCCCACGTGGACCCGAACGAGTCTCACACATGGGTCCTATTCACGCCAGGCACTGACGCTGGGACGACAACTTCATACCTTAGCTCAGCTCAGGACGATCAGATAACTCCCGGTAGATCAAGGATCAGTGATCTGGGCAGCATCGACACCGCTGCCCGGTCTGATTTCAATTCTCAGCCTAACAATTCCGCAGTTCCCTCGGAAGCCCTAGCGGAGAGCGTTGCCGAGGATGACGCCGAGCTTGACAGCCTCGACAGTCATCTACCGGAATTTCGCACCGTTACAAGTCCTTACAACCAATCCGAAATCCCGCACGCGGCGACGGTGCTCCCAGGGCATGATGGATTGGGCTCGTTCAGGTTTGATGCCAAGGGGACAAGCGCCGAAGCGCAGGAACGGCTGTATGCCTTTGAAAGGTTCAATCCAAACCGCGTAAGGCCGAGCACTGAGAGCTTTGACCTGGCTCAATTGGCGCTTGAAGATGAGGAGGCGCAAAGACTGGAGAGAAATCGCAGAATCGAGGCATGGCGACTGGAACAGAGCAAGCTCTTGCTAGAAGACATCAGGAAAGAGACGAGGAGAAGGCGACAGCCGGAGGCATCTCTACGCAAACACCATCCAGAAATCAGCACGGCGCAGGAGGTTGCGGAAAAGAGCGTTGCAAACCAAGAAGCAGAAGACATCAACGTAAGCGGTGCTGATTGGCACGAGCAGGATGGACCATTACCCAGCCCCGCAGAGGGCGGCTTGCTGAGTCGCATCACACGGAAATTGCTTTGCGACCTCATGGGGATCGATGACAAGCTACTTCCGATTCTGTTTGGGGAGGTGCTTCCTGACGAGGGCGCACTCTTATCCATGCCTGAGGCATCTGCAGTCGGCGTGTCTCCCGCATCTGGGCCCGTTGAGTCACAGTCATGGGATGACTCTGCATGGCAACTGCGTATGCTTGAGCGGATAGCGAGGGAACTCGGCCTTCTTGTACACAAGATGTCGACTCACCCTGGCGCCTTTTCAACATACACGCGCGTACAACATATGCCGCTTCCGTATGCCGGCCTTCCAGTCATACCAGAGACGCCTGTTGACGTGAATGACGGGGTGCAAGGGACGGACGGCAGTGTCATGTCTACGCCGCAATTCAAGCCCACAATTGCAGCGTCAGCCGATGTCCATGGTGCGCGGACGTCGGAGCCCCCGACACAATCGGCGCCTTCTACCGCCGACATGGGCCCGAGCGATGGGTCACAATCTTTCACACAACAAGAGTGGGAACAGGACCTTGATATCCGGCTGGTCTTCCGCTATCTACGGTCACGATTCACATCCTCTCGCCAAACCTCGGCCCCGTTTTCGTCGGGGACTTCTCACCTCGCCACGTCCAGCACGCAGGATGCCGCAGCAAAGGCGGCCAGGGTGCGTCAGCACCACCCTCTCGTGTCCAATGCTCACGCACATGGATACCACCGGCCCCGCCCCGCGGACCGGCGCACGTTTAAGGCGGCTGTGCCGTCTAATCCCGCTGGGTTGAGGCATGCTCCTGGCAGCTGTGCTAGTCAGAGTACGCGGCGGTCTGCAAGGCGAAGCAGCATCTCGTCCCGGCCATCGTCCCGGCATTACTGGGATATTGGAGGCTCCATAGGCACAGGCAGCATTATCGCGAGCACCGGACCGATGGGGAGCTGGGGCGAGCTTTAGATGAGCTAGCACCTTGCTCATTTCCTCGCCATCGACGCAAAATATTCTGGTGAGAAGGGTTTATTGTACAAGTACACGCACCATCATGACGGCAGGGGATCTACACGGGAAGCGGGGCGTTTGGATGGATTTGTATTCATTTCAGTCACGTCAGCATACCATTTAGACGTTTGGATTAAGATTTCAGCAATCTCTGGGAATATCAGATGAATCACCACCATGCATATCTTTTAGTCCCGCCAGCCTCACATCTCGGGTACATTGGCCTGCATTCCTCCTATGCGAACGCGATATTCGCGGATCACGGCTTTACGGCGCCCTGTCGCCAGCCTCGTTCGGCTGGCACGCTGACAAGCTTCTGGCTCTGCAGGGTTACCTCGAACCCCTACCGTTGGAGGCCATGAGGATCTACCTCTCCGTTCCGGCCAATTTCTGCAGTCACCGAACATCTTAAGGTACATACGGTGAGCCTGGGAGAGGGTGATGTTACGCTGACCGGCTACTGCATACGTAGTACGGACCACATTGTGGTATCTCGATGGTGTGAATGTACGGAGTACAATGGCAACGAGATGGAAGTGCAAGCACCCGCCTAACGCGAGATGCACGTTGGATACGCGGGCTGCTGCAGACGCGATCAGGAAGGCAGGGATCTAAAGTGGGTTTTACCCAATGAGGGAACTCCAGCAGTGCAACGTCTCGAAACAAACAGGGATTGCTTCAATCAGTTCCGCTGCAGCTTCAACCACCGACGCGTCGCCTCAAACAGGCGTCCAATGGCTTCTCAGTCAAGTCTCCCCTGTGCAAAACAAAGGGCAGAAACAGCAATTGGCATGGCTGCATGGGAGCCTGATCAGGGAAACAAGAGAGAAGATGCGTGCGTCGTGCGAGGCATCCTCACGTCCGATCCGATCCTTCCCCATGATCCCTGCCGCGAGTCTGCAGATCGAGTCATCTTGTCGTTCGCCTGACTTGCAATCCCCACAGTTCCCACAATTCTTCGGCCGGCAAGAGCCCGGGATGATTAGGTGCTGAGTGGGCCCCCACAGCGCTCGCTGGCGCAGCTGCCCATTGGATTTGGGTGGTGCTCAAACGAAAATGGGCAGCTCACAGAGTTCCCAGCTCCCACACCCCGCCTTGCTCTGCACTTTACCTAATTCTCCCGACCTGGATCACCGGCGATACTCTCCGCCTCGGTGTCAGATTGTGCTGCCCGACGCCTCACTTTACTTTTTGCGACGTCGATTCCTAACCGTGTCTCCAACCGTTTTTCAACTGCGCGCCCTTTCGGTCAGGCATATAAATTATTTTGGAGGAAGAATCAGCTGCCGCATTTCATAGAGAGCTATATAAAAAGTGTTCGTCCACGCTTTCTGCTTCGACCTTGGCCCTCCTGCCCAGTGAAGACATGCAGGCGCATCTCGCGATTCCGAGAGCTGTGGCCTATGTCGCCGCGATTGCGCCGGCTGATGCGCCTTGTGCCCATTGACTGACCGGATGCAGTATCATGTACTAAGGCCGCTGCCCACTGATCGCGACCCAGCTTGCCTGGTGTGTGGGGTCGCGCGCTGAGCTCATCTCGTCTCGCCGGTCCTGCCATCTCGCACCTCATCATCGTCGCTAAGCTGCCGTCGCACGCCGAATCGAACTCGCGCCAGTCCCATTCGGCGCGCCGAACGTCAGCCACGCCGGGAAATGGTTTCCCAACATGCCAATGGCTGCTACACCCTTGATGCCCCCGTCCCCGGCAATTCCTTCGTCTTCGACATCTACAATGATGGTCAGGCGCCGCGGGCAACGGCGCCGGCCCTGCCGGGCGGGCCTTGCAACTACACGGATCAGACATTACCGCGCTGCGGTTGTCGCCGCTTTTGGAGTCGGCCACCAGTTAGCAGTGTCTTCCAGGACAGCACGGTGCCCAACCTGTCGGAGATATGCATGTGCTCGCACCATGCCTGCTTCCACGAGGATGCTCAGCCTGGACAGACACAGCCCATGCCCGTGACTAGTGTCGCGGGACAGGAAAACCAGAAGCCCAGGGCTAACAGGGAACCACTGAGTCCGGTTCCGGGTGTGCCGTCGTTTCACATGCCTTCCAACCTCGGATTGTCGCTGGATTTCAACATGCTGGGCTTCCAGACCTCCGTGTCTGCTCCTCACAAGGATGCTATTGACACATTACCGGCCGAGGATGCCCGAGCGGGACAGGACAGTCCAATGCCGGATACGTTTAACAGCTGGGGGGATATATTCGAGACTCAGGCGGCACCGGCCAATGGACCCCCGTCCAATCCTGCCCAGTGTATAATGTCATCTCAGCCACCATCGACTGCCGCCTCTAGCCAAGCCAGATACCTGAGGCCCTTTGCTGGGAAAGGACTGCAAACACTAAGCGGCGGCTCAGTCGTGGCAGCGCAAGCCCGCTCTGCGGGACGGAGCGACCAGGATGGTAATGCGGGTGCGATACGGGATATGATACCTCCTTCAGGAGATTTTCCTTGCCGTGATGCCGGGGATGCCACCCCTAGACCCGCACACTCTCAGGCTCGTTCAGCGGCGGCCTCATACCTTGGGTCGTACCAGAAGCTAGCGGACACGGTTGAGGCCCACGAACAGCGACTCGAGAGACTCGAGAGCGCATCATTTTCCATTGCCGGCCACGATGACTGCAACGACAAGCACGAGCACACTGATCTACGTGTTACCGAACTTGAATCCAGGGTAGAAGAGGTGGAGAAGATCCTTAATGACAGCAGTAGCATCGCCAGCAGCAAGCGCACCGTCCGGAACGATGGCACCGCTGATGACGCTACAGCCAGCGTTGCCTCGGTTTCAACTAACGCCACAGTACTCGCTTCAAACCGCGCCGAGGTGTACAGTCAGCTGCGGATACTACAAGCACAGGTCAGCCAACTGCAGGAAGCCGCGTTGCCTTCATACACCAAACCTTGGGAGCTCGAAGTGGTATTTTTGCCATTTCCGCTGAAGGGAATCTGGATGGACGCACGGGAATTCTCGGCGCAGCGCCGGTCGACGGGTTCCAATGTAGGCGAGTGGACGCAAATGCCGAACACAATCAGCAGGGCGACACCAGATCCGCAGTCGCCCAAGTTTATGGAGTGGGTGGGACAAGGGCCCGAGTCAAACTGGCTACTGCCGAGGGCTTTTGCTTCTGGCCGGACCATTGACCAGAGACTCAAGAGTCGTGGCCTGATCAAAACGGTCCTCGTCAGGGGCCCGGACGCTCGGAGTGTCCATCTTGCGATCCACAACGCGTTTTACGATATCCTGCGCATCTCGTCCAATTCTGATGCCCTGTCGGGATATGCGCCTCCTGATTCACCCCTGTCCGAATACCTCGGCCTAAGACAAGCCTGGGTACCGTTACGCAAACTTCACAAAGATTCGCGCCTTCGCTTTCTTTCGCCCGCCGAGATGGCAACGCCTGCGTTGTGGGACTTTACGTTCCTAGTATCCAGCGTTGTCATGAAAGCCACGGGTTTGCAGCGCCTCTACATCACGCAGCCAGAAGCTTACCTCCAAGATCATCCCCTGGGTTACCACGCTTTTGAATCCGGGTGGAACTGGCAGAAGCTACGCGAGCTGAGGAGGGTGTACCCGGATTCTCAGAGCAGCGCCGGTGATGTCCCTGAGGCGGACGCGATGGAAGAATGCTGGGCTTGGGACGAACGTCTGGACGGAGAGCCCAGTGTAAACACATCGATCATGAGCCTTTGTCAATCCCATCAGCAGCGCGTATCTAAGCGTTCTTCGACAGAACCATCTGCCCAATTCTTCACGGGCGTGCAGTCACCTATTCTCACCAGCAACCCCGGTTTCTCCCGGGCGCAGTCTCCTCTCATCCAGCGGGACCGTAAGGGCTCCTGGCCGCCGCATATCCGCGCCGGATCGCTGCCGCCAGTCGCCCCGACCCTCTTATCTCCGGCTCAGTCCCGTCGGCGGGTGTCCTCCCACACCGCCAGCGCCACCCCCTACGAGCGGCGGTCCTCGCCGTTCATTCCCCGCCCCAGCCCCCGCCTCAACAGCCACCCCAACATGGCAGCTAACACGTCCGCCGCCATGATCCCCAAACGCCGCTTCGGGACCCGCTCGCCCTCCCTCGCCCCGCGAAACACGCCGCGGTGGAGCCGCACGAGCATGAGCCGCTCCCCGTCTCTCGCGCCGGGCGGTCCGTACGGCTACCACGACGAAGCACCCAACCGCGAGCGGCGCACCACGCCCTTCTACTACGCCACGCCGCACAGCGACGCGCACCCGGACCAGCCCTACGGCTATCTCCGTGCCGGAAGCCGCGGGCCCACGCCAGGGCCCGCGGGGCTCCGTATCGGTGGCTATGGCGACGGCGGCGACGACGACGAGGACATGAATGATGGAGACTACGAGGATGACGAGAGGGGATCGTCGACGGACCCCTACGACAGTGAAATGACCAGCGACGATCACGTGGACCAGTATAACCATAATCATAGCCATAGCCACAGGCGTCGCAACAAGCATAACAACTCGTTTGGCTTCGGCCGGGACGCGGATGGGGCGGATCTGGACATTGACGTGTACGAGGATGAGGAAGATGGCGAGGACTATGAGAAGGAGGACGAGCTGGACGGGGTGGACACGGATGGCGGCGATGGGCAGACCGCAGCGTGGCATGGGCTTGGTCGACAGCCGCAGCAACACCAGGTGCAACAGCAAGTCCCATCATTCCCTCATGGACAGCACGTACAGCAGGGCGCGTCACTGGCTCAGCCCCGACCTGAAGATATCCCCTGGGCGGGGATCGAAGACCATATGTCGGACGGGGAGAATGTGGATCCGTCCGAGTCGTCGTCTTTCTCGTCACAGTCATTATCGCAGTCTCAGTCGCAATCTCAGCTTCAGTCGCAAGAGATTGAGATCCATGAGAACGACGACGACGACGATGAAGACGAGGACTGTGGTCAACGACAGCGACAACGACAACAATCAACGCTGCCCGATGCCGATGCCGAGGATGATGCCGAGAACGATGACGATGACACGACCAGCGCAAGCGCAAGCAGCCAGGCGCCCAGCGAGTACTCGAGCAAACCCGGCCCGTGGCAGGTCATCCCCCTGCTGCCGCCGCCAAGCAGCAGCACTGTGGATGTGGATGTGGACGACGAGGAAGTGGGCCAGGGCCAGCATCCGAAGCAGACCGCCGCCGCCATTGCCATTGCTACGACTGAGTCACAATCACAAGAGGAGGAGGAGTCGATGGAGTTCCGGATTCATGAGGACGGGACGGCGGGAGGAGGGGAAGGCGGTGACGGCGGGGCTGGGTTGTTGTTGGATACGCAGTGGGCTTGATTGCGGTTGAAGGGGGGTTGTTGGCTGTGTTACTCTGTTTTTATACGTGGGGATGGAGGTTGGATCAATATCATGACACCGACCGACCACAGCATCTCTAGTTCATTGCATATCATATCATGTCATGTCATGTCATGTCATGTCATGTCAAGCATGTCATATTCATATACGTTAGGCTATCTTGGGACTTGGGAGTGGCTAGCAAGCGAATCCTTTCTGTCTTTCTGGTTTCTATTTGTTTGTTTTGACGCTGCTCCTGTGTTTGGAGGTGGGGTGATGGGTGGATGGATGGATGGGTGGATGTTTGTTTGTTATTTGTATCGGGAGCGGGCGTATGGCGCGAGACGATGGAGATACCTCGTTATCCACTCCTGTTGTGTTGTGTTGTTGTTGTTGATGATGATAGATCAAGTCATAGTAATTCTCATCCCAGTTTTCTTGAACGACCTAGTCAAAAAGCATACCCGCTCGCTGCTCCGTAAGATACTGACCAGGTGGGAGGGACGGACGGGCGGATAGTCCCGGTTCAACACGAACGCTTCAGGAACTCGATATGTTGAATTCACAGGTACCTAGCTTGACCTCAACTAGACAGAACTGCAGCCTGGCTTTCTGAGACTCTGTTAACTCCGAGTGTAGCCCTCAGGCACCCAAGTCTGACTAACTCTTCCACGGGCCCCGTTGAACATGACAGTATCACGGTACCACATGCCAACCCTTCATTATGAAGTCAGTCACTCATAGCGACTGTCAGGGCAATGAGCTCAGCCTGTCTGTGTCAAAAAGCCCCTCATTGCTGTTTAGAAACCATGTCTAGGTTGGGGGGCGAGAGGGAAGCGAGAGTGGATGCCTTCGCGTTTCTTCACGGTAGCCAGACATGTATTGTAGGCCACACCACCGATACAGCACACAGGCATGGCCATGTGCTGTACGTGAGAATAATAGTCCGTCAAATGCATGATGCCGTCTGCTACCTGCACTACATGGATCATGCAACTGCCATCAAGAATGCCGTGTAACCTCACGATATCTACCTGCCCCAGTCCAAAACGCCAGCAACGCCGCCCGCTAATGTATTGTACCCAATCAAACAGCCTCATGAGAAATGTATACCTTCTTCATGGAAAGCTGTCGCAGCACCCAGGTCAGCAATCGACGGCACACGAGAGATCTTCGCTTTGGGATAACCTACCGATAAGAAGCTTCAAGAAATCGTTCTGATCACACTGCCTAGCTCGCTTGTCGGCCAGGCCGGTGCCCGTGAGGACCTTATTTACTTTTGAGCGCACGACAAGGGCTATTCTGGACTTGGGATTCCTGCTCGGTGTTTTGGCCGCGTCCTTGGCGGCCTGGGCCTCGTTCAGCTCCTTGAAGAAGGTGGGCATATCCTCGTCTTCGTCGGCGTCGACACCGCCCCATTCTTCTTCCGCTTCGTTGCCGTCCTTATCGATGTTGTCATCGTCGCCGCCATTACCGCCGTCGTCGACATCCATCTCATCGTCGAGGCTGCCCATGTTGGCGTCCTCGGCGCTGGCATCCTCGACGATGCTCTCGTCGATGGGGATATTGTGAAGGGAGCAGTAGACTTTGTAGTTCTGTATATTTTGTCAGCGTAACATGGAGGTAGAGTTCGGGAATTGGAGGACCGACCCTTTCACACATTGCTAGCACCTCTTTTATCCCGAAGGCAGCTCGCAAGGTCTTGTTTTTCCGGTTGCTGACTTTTGGTTAGGAAGGGCACCGGACAACATGATGGTTGATAGCGAAGGTGTGTAGAACGCACAAGGAAATACGTAGAAGACCATCAAATTCCTGATCGAAGAGTTAGCAAGCTTGAGGATGGGATGTCGGCCGGATGGGCTCACCTCGAAAGCAATATTCGGCCGAGCTGAACCAAGCTAGATAGACAGGATTAGCATTTCCCCATGTAGGTTTTTCTGCAACGTTCGTACAAGTGGTTCTATCCGGACGACTAGGGAACAGTAAGTAGAGGCTCATCTACCAGGCGTTATTGCAAACATACCATCGCTCTCCACCTTGGGAGGAGGTTTAAAGTTTTGCTTTCCGACTTTCTGTACAGATGCGTTAGTCCAATAGACCTGCCGGATCAACTTTCCTGCCGTACCATGATATGTTTACATGTAGCCCAGAAATTCACATTTACACTCAGTCTAGAATAGAGCGCATCACCTTGACCTGGTCAGTAGCGGCTCGACATGAAGAGAATTTGTGAACATACCGGGCCTTGCTACCAGTCTCTTGGCGAACTCCCGTTGAAACTAGAGGGCGATAGCGGGCAAGTCAGTCATGGCATCACTGGGTTAAAATCGCAACGTGTTTGGGCACGAACCATGAGCACTGCAACGCGGGGCGGGTTCGGCATGGACAACATCTTGAAGATAAGGGGACTGCTGATCTGGTAAGGCGTATTGGAGATCAGGGCGTCGCAGGGTGGGATTTGGGGCATCTTGATGACATCCCCCAAAATGACCTCGAGCTTCTTCGCCAACGGGGTGCTTTGCACGCGCTTTGTGACCTCTGTGTCGTCTTAGCCGCTCTATTCGAAGCAATATGTGGTGGATATTCGGACACACCTGCGCCCATCTTAGGATCGAGTTCGACTATCGGACAAGGTTCTGGTCAGCTTTCGCGTAGTGTGAAGCAAAACCTTTGGTATGAACGTACTCGCTATCACCTTCTTTGCCTTTTCGAGAGCCCGGACCGTGACTGTTTGGGCAATTTTCGTCAATCGACAGGTCCTGGTGGTGAATCAAACGAGACATGGGCAGGGTGGCTCACTGTTGCCGGTACCCGGACCAACTTCGACGACAACATCGGTGGGCTTGAGGTATGCCTTCTCAACAATGGCATCGCTAGGCAATGAGACGTAGTTGCGATTAGCGCCAGCAGTACAATTATATTTCCCTAGTAAGAGCAAGCTAACCTGATACCAGGGTTCTTGAGAATATGCTGGCCAAAATCCTTGTTGAAGCGGAAGATGTTGGTGCTGGCCGCCGCCGATTTCGACTGCTTGCGGTCATATGGCCCGCTGCCCGAGGCAGCCTTCTTCTGCTTGGCCGCTTTTGGCATTGTAAGAGTTCGGGGCGTGTCTCTGTCGACAGACCGGAAGAGCGATCGAGGTTCGACCTCGTTTTTATTTTTATTTTGGCCGCCTTTTTTTGGACGGCAGTACATACAAGATGTAACCCCGCCAAGTGAGTGAAGATAAGATAAAGCTGCGAGCCACACCGCCTGCCTTGTCGAGCTTGTCAGGCAGAGAATGACCCCGCCAATGCCAAGCCTGAACCATGCTGACTGCGACGAACCCACCCACTGGTACCTAAAGTACAGCAGCTAACATGCAACTTGTCAAGCCGGGAAGGCTCACCTTGAAGCGCCGTTACGGTATTGGGATTGCTTGGACCAACGTGAAACAATCCGCGAGGCGCGGATACCTACTGCGCCTCTGCAAGAGTGCCATGGGTGCATTCAAGTTGTTCTGGGCGTTTTCTCTTTCCGTAACCGGTGACCAGACAGGCCCTGAATTCGGTTTCAACTGACGTAACTGGCCGCGCTGTCTCTGGGGCGGAGCCCGCGGAAAGGCAGACTCGAAAACCGCTTCATCGCAATCCTCCTGTTGGTCAATTGGGTACAATACTTACATACAGCAACCGATCAACTGTGTGCAATGTGCATCTCTTGACCTGTTTCTCCTTCGTCTTCTCAACGTCCTCAATTACATGATCGCCCCAATGCTCGCTAACTACCTCATGGAGAGTTCAAGACGCATTCCTGGCGGTGACTCAGCTTCAAACTACTCAACATGTCAATAAGAATAGCCCTGGACAACCCACCCGAGTTCTACACGAACCTGGACATCATCAAAGGCCAGGTGGTCTTGAACCTTAGCCGCCACGAGCATGTTGGCGCCATTATTGTCAAGCTCGAGGGCGAGTCCAAGACGGCCCTCGGCGTCCCCACCGAAAACCCGGGCATGGGCATCTCCCGGGACCGCCATCCGCACGGAGACACGCTCCACGAAAACCACAAAATCCTCTACAAAGTGTCCCAGGTCTTCCCGGACGAAAAGCTGTCCCAATCGCCCCCACCCTTCGTCCTCAACCCAGGCCAGCATCGCTTCCCCTTCCAGTTCAAGTTCCCCTTTAATAATGCGTGTGGCAACGCGGAGGCTATGGCGAAAATCGGCGGTGTTATGAACCCCGGAGGGTTTGGCTCAGGGACTGGCTTCTTAGGCTTAGGGGGCATCCGTGTGATGGATGGAACCAGACAGCTGTTGTACTCGCACGTTACCAAGACACTACCTCCCAGCTTCACGGGTTTCCCGGGAGAGGCCGAAATCCGCTATTATGTCAAGGTCACAGTGCAGCGGCCCGGCTTGTTCAAGGAGAATTGGAGATACCAGACCGGCCTCAAGTTCCTACCCATCGAGCCCCCTCGGCCGCCAAAGACGAATCAGGAGGCATACGCCAGGCGGCCTTTCGCATTCCATCCCCGAAGTCCCAGTCCGGCGCCACAACCAAAAAAGCGAGGTTCTTTTTTCAGCAGTAGCAGACATTCGAGCCCAGCTCATTCACCTGTGGATGGAACACATAACCTCATGCCGCCAGATGGCGTGCCATCCCAGACCGCCGCATCAGCATCGCCCCCCTCAGTCGAAATATCGGCTCGGCTTCCTCACCCAGCTATTCTCACATGTAACAAACCAATTCCCCTCCGCATTCTCGCCAAGAAGCTGGTGCCCTCTGCCGCTGAAGTGTACCTAATCGCGCTGCAAATCGACCTCATTGGCAAGACCACTGTCCGCTGTCAAAATCTGGCCAACACGGAAACCAGCCGCTGGGTCATAATGTCTCGCCAGGGTCTTTCAATTCCTGTGTCTCAACCCCAAGACGCCGTTGGAACCGAGATTGTCCTGCCAAACAGTTTATGGAGTGACGTCCCATTACCAAACACCGTCATGCCGAGCTTTGTAACCTGCAATCTAAGGTATGCCGTTTCCAACCGTACAATGGCCTCTCATTTCCATTAGATCACTTACCCCTGAGCCTTAGCCGCGACTACCAACTCGAAATCAAGCTCGGCCTATCCTGGGGCAAACCCACCACCCACAGCAACCCCAGCGTATCCTTTCTAGGCCACAGGAGCAGGTCCAGAGTCGACCTTTCCGAGATCCCCCAGGAGCTCCATCTACCCCTGCACTTCAGCTCGGTAGAGGTCTTCTCAGGCATGGAACCTCCTCCAGCACTAGTAGAAGCGATACGGCAAGGCCGGGGTAAGGCCCGCCGGCCTGTCAAGCAGACGCAATCAGAGGTACTAGGACAGCCGGGACAACCCTCACCTCGCCCTCCACAGCAGCAACAGCAACAACAACCACCACCGACCCTACCCCCTCGTCCGTCACCACAACAACTACAACAACAACAACAAACATATGACCCGCTCTATCCACCCCAACTCCAGCCGGGGCAACAACAGCCCCCGTACGACGATGCACCGCCCACGTACGAGGAGGCCATGGCCGAGGAGATGACGGGGCCCATGTTCCCCCCTACGGCGAGGCCGGCTTATAGTGGCGAGACTAACGAGAACTCGCCTGATACGCTGCCTGAGAAGAGCTAAATTGCGAAGTTCCGTATGCGGCGTGTTTGGGAGGCTACGTCAGGAGGAAATCCTTGGTATTATATAAGAGATAAAGCGGGCTACTACTAGTAGTAGCTTAGTATTCGTTACTCACTAGCCGGGGAGTATAGCTGGGGTTGGCTTTGTTCTACTTACTGTATATACATAGATATCAAGGTATCAAGGTCGGCGGACTACTGCACTTAGCATTTACTTCATCTTCATGTTAGTTATACCCACTAACTCGCTCTGTCATAATGGGTGAGCAGAAATGAGTTCATTCAGTTTCCGCTTTGCTAGGACTCTTCCCCTTCAGCAGCAGGTATTGACTGGCAGGGTATACATTGCTTCACTTGGATTGAAGCGAGAGCATTGCTGTCTATATCTTCGATTCATTCGATTCATTCGATTCATTCGATTCATTCGATTCATTCATGCACCTGACAAGTTACACCACTTACATCCTTTATGCATACCTTTACTTGTATGTATCTACCTTATGCACCCCACAGCAGGCACATACTGACACGCACACATACTCACACCACATCAATGTACATGTAGATCTACATCTTCACCAACCCACATTACCATATGTATAGTACATACAGTACGATGCAGATACCTACAGAACAAATCACCACAAGGGGGTTGGTTGGCTGTGCCACTAAATTGATAAAAGACAACGCAAAGCAAGACCACTGGTAGTCCAACCCCAACGAACTAACCGCAAACCGGCAACCGGCAACCGCAACCCGACTGGCAACCTCCCCTTTCAGTGTTCCACATACGCCTTGCCTCTTGCCTTAGCTTCCCGCTTCTCGCCGTAAACGCCGACGCCGAAATCACCACCCAACCTGACCCGACCCATGGGCCAAGGAAAGACGTGAAGAGTAAACTCCAAAGGAAGACTGATGGTGAGGAAGAGTGAATGGTATAAATGCGCCGCAGTCGGGTTCCCATCGTTCGTTCATGACATGACAAAGATCCAAACACAATTTTTCTTTCCCCCACAGGTACTAGGTAGACAAACCGACAAACCGATTCCCCTTTTCGCCTGCGCCTTCCGCCTGCTGTTTATGATAATGTAGCCTAACAAACGCCAGTCGCAATGATTAATGTGATAAGAGCTTTGTTTCGTGACTCTTTTGTTTCCTTCTTCTCCACCCTTGCATTCGTCGTCTCAAAAGAGTAGTAGTAGTATGGCCGCTGTCGGCCGCTGTCGGCCAAACCACTCACTCTTCCGACTTGACTCGGCTCATTTGTGAATGGGGAATTGGTGATATGTATGTAGACGGGTGATGTAGTAGCCGTAGTCGACCGCCAACCGACAGGGGAACCAAAAGCGGCAAAGGAAACCCGCCGGGAGAGCCAGTGATGCAACCGGCGTCGGGTCCTGACCGAATGATCAGTGGCTCAGTCAATCTCAATAATCTCCACCTCCTGCCGTCTTGCATTGGCGGCTGAGGCGCTGGATGTTGCTGTCCCAGCAAACGACGCAAGAGCTTGGGCTTTCCCTTTGCCCTTGTTGCGCGTCGACGGCAGTCCATCCTCGCCATCGCTGACGCCGTCATCATCGTCCTCCACGACGGCCGACCACGATCCGTCGGCCTTGACACGGATGCATTTGGCCCGCAACTTCCCCTCTCTCTCGAGCTGCTCACGGACCTTGCTGAGGAAGCTATCGATACGTAGGCTGTACGGCCTGGCGTCCTTGGAGCATATCGGACAGCGCCACTTGTCCGGATTCGACGGCTCGACCGTTTTGCAGCCACAGTCGACTTGCCCATGGGAACACTTAATCGGGGGCTTCGACGGCCGCGTGTTGAGCCATATCTCTAGGTCAAAGCACTCCAAGTGCGTGCAGTCTACGCCTCGCGCGGGCGTTTTGAAGATGGTGGAGCTGAACGGATCCGCAAGGTCGATTGGTAAGTCGTGAGCCTCGATGGTGACATCGTCGTCCGGGGAGCTGGATAAACGCTTCTTGATGATTCCCAACGTCTCCTCTTCGGGTATCATGCCAAACGACCTGACCGTGTTTATAATGTTCAGGTGGCTGAGCGTCTCGATCATCTCGACCGCGATATAGCGGTCCAGAGCGCCGCCGGGTTGCAGTTCGGGAAGAACAACCTTGAGAGTGTTCGTGCCGCGGACTATGAAATTGGTAATTTCTGCGGGAAGGTCCTTTCCATTATGCGTATCCCTGCGGATCTCTAGCGCGTTCTGGTTGAACGTCACAAATATGTTGGGTGGCCACTTCACATCTCTTGTTACCCATTGCTGCTCAGTAAGGGGTGAAGACAAGCTGGGGATCATGCAACACCTGACTCGCCATCGTAAAGCGCCGTTGAAGTGCTCAACCACCGGCAACAGGATACCGGGCTGTTTCGATCTAGTCGCCAACAAGGCAAACTGCTCCTCTGTGACTTCGAAGCTGAACTCGTAGATGGCGTTTCTCGGGGTGATCGGTGTCGGTTTGACCGCAAGCGACTTAACAGCTTGGTAGAACCGACCTCTTGCGCCATCCCTCATGACCCGTTTTGGACTACGGACTTCGGCCTGATGTAGAGACATCAGGATTGATTTTTTATCCGAGGGGTCATACGGCCATTCCGGCCGTGTGATTGTGCGTTCTAGCGGCGGTAACAGCAAGTCATTGACCTGAATTGCTGTGTGGCCTGGAAGAATGCCGCGCTGGGCTTGCTGTGCTGTGGCTAGATCTAAGCTCTGGGAGGGCCTAGAAGCAACGGCTTGCGGAGGGTATGGAACACTGGGGCGATTAGCCGCGGGCGAAACCTGTTGACTATCTTGTATACGCCGCATCTGTTGCTGTTGCTGCATTTGATGCATTTGCTGCATCTGTTGCAGCTGCTGGATCGGTTGTATCTGCTGGGTCTGCTGGGGCTGTTGCTGTTGCTGCTGCATCTGGCGTATTTGCTGGATCTGCTGGGGCTGTTGCTGCTGCACCTGGCGTATCTGTTGGATCTGCTGGGCATGCTGGCCCATCGACTGCTGCGCCGTCCCCTGTCGGGCCTGCGATGGCACCGGGTAGGCAGGGTGTATAGGGAAGTTTCCCGACGCTTGCCAATTCTGCAGATATTGCTGCTGGTTGAGATGTTGCCCCTGAAGCCCAAGTAGAGGCTGCTGGTGCTGTGGCAACATAGGGTGGGCGGGTCGATTGCTGCTGGCATCCGCGGCTTGGGATTGCAAGAGTGCCTGGTGATGGTTGGGCATACCCGTCTGCATCCCAGCTGGCTGAGTTGAATTCGAGAGTGCTGTATAAGGATGGCCCTGCATCGACCCTGGCCAGTGAGCCACCCCCGAGGGGCCTGGCTGTGCCTGAGGAAACGGCCCTGGGATAGAATAGGAGGGCAGCATTGGTCGTTGCTGGCTTGAACTGCCTTGAGCGCCAAACGAGGTGTTGATGAATCCTGGCTGTTGGCCAGGCGAGGGCTGAGGGCCAGGTGAGGGGTTGATGAGTCCTGATTGTTGGCCAGGCGAGGGATGAGGGCCAGGTTGTGTTAAGCCCTGAGGCCCAGCTGCTTCGGAGACTATCTGCCTATACAGATCAATCAATTCCCTGTTCCGCATTTCAACCTCGCCCGGGTGGTGCGGGAAATTCCCGAGAATTTGGGGCCCGCCTGGCTGCATGCAATGGCGGTTCTGGTCCTGTTGAAAAGCTTGTTCGATTCGAGTGCCGAGATCGCCGTCTGGTACACCCAACCGCCTCCGACAGGCGGTAAAGATGATCTTCTGTAAGACGGGCGAATAGCAATACAGGTAAGCAAGAAGCTCGTCCACCACAAACGGGTAACCGCGGTGTACGGTTTCGTTGCTCAGGCGATCGTAATTGTGAGCCAACCGGTGTAGGAATACCGCTATTTGTTCGACTTTAGCACCGGGTCCAACCTTCCACATCTCCAAGTCCGTGCTCATTGAGACTGGAAATTGGACAAACCAATTCTGAAGCACTGGTGATATGGAGTCATTCTTCTTAAGAATCATCTGGAGGATGGAAAAAGCTGAATTTATGGTCGTGACCTTCTGTGGGATGACCAGGTGGGCGTCCCGAGGTTGCTGGGACCAAATGCAGAACAGTTGATGAAGGGCTAAAAAGAACATGTCATTGTTCTTGCATGCCTCTCGGAGGATCATTAACCGGGGCTTTTCAATGCTGGGTTCGAAAGACTGTTCTCCCCCGCACGACCGGACAAGCTGATCGATCGACGCAAGCAGATAAGGGCCAGATAGTGGTGCCGCCTGCGGCGAGAGTGGTGGTTGTCTATGAGAAATGGTCAGCAAGAGCATCGCGAATGAAGTATTTGTCAGTTAAACTCACTCTATACGTCGCCGTTTGGGTGGAGGAAGTGATCCCAACGCCAACGATGGCGAAGGAACACCGTTTTGACCCGAGCTCCGACAGTCTCTCTCTAGCGCGGTTGGGCCGCCGCCCTGAGACTGAAACGGGCGGTTGTCGGCGACGGGTGACGGTCCGGTATTTCCCAGTCTCGGAACTTCTTGGGAATATGTTGGACCAGCAATGACCGGGTCGACAACAAATCGGGCTTCGGTGACGGGAAGTGCGGCCGAAGCACTGATCGCAGGTGCCATGTTCTGTGCATCAGGAAGCGAAGCAGAGTTGGTATTCGGGCTATCGAGAGCATTCGACAGGGCTGGGCTCGGCGCATCACTAGGGGCAGGCGAGGGAAGAATAGCCGGTGCAGGCCTGGAGATGGGTCAAGTCAAGTCAGCGAGTTCCATCCAAGACTTTGTTATAACTGTATGTAACATTGGGTCTACCTACTGCTTCTGGGCAGCCTGGCTGTTCTGTCGATTCACAACCGGGCGCAAGGTCGGCACTGTCGATGCGCGACCTGTCATCCATGATGGCTGGCGACCGCCGAGAAAGGCACTAGCTGTGGCATTGGAGGAGGCGATTTGCTGCGGGTCGACAGCAGATGGACGCGGATTGCTGGCGCTGGTATTCGACGGCGGCATGGTACTTCGATTCTACTTTCCACTTGGCCTGCTGGTCGCAAAGGGACTCGTGGCGATGTAGGGGCGAGACTGCACGGCATTTATGGTCAGTTGAGTCTTTGCGAATCTTTGCGAACGCACGCGACGTCGTGGGGAAGCGAGCGACACGCGGGAGGTAGGAGGTGAACGGGACAAGACAGATAGAAACACATACCATCGAAAACAATTTGCTGCCGTGCGAAAATGGATTGGAACAGGCAAGAGATTAGGCCAGGTGCTGCTCAAATACTTGTCTAGACAGGAGCTAGAATCGGATGAAAGGACGCGTTCTAGCTAGGTGTGGCAAGAGCGACTTGGAGTAGCTGGGAGAGCTTGTCTATCTTGTCTATGTGTGTCTGCCCACCACAGTCTTTGCATGTCCTCTTCTCGTGCAGGAGAGTTGTTGCGGTCACGAAGAGAAGGTCCAGGACAATGGCACAAGTTCGACGATGTTCGGCACTCGATGTCGCTATGGGCGCCACATGGAGAGGATTGAAGCGCGCACACACGCAATAACCAAGGATTTCACCAAGTACGGATATGTGTATAGAGTTTAGCAGGCGAAGTCACAGAGGATGATTGAAGTCGGATTGACGTTGACGATCGGTGAAGGGCGAGACTCGAGAGGGTTTGGTCTTTGGATAGTCTTGGACAGCCCGCCAATGGCGGCTCGTTGGGCACGCCTCGTCAGTTAAGGTTGGAAACGCGGCATCTTAATGGTCTGGCTCAATCCCCGGTCCCTCGGAGAGCGCCACCTAGCTGGGTCTATGGCGATACATAAACAACATAACATACCATGCAAACGCGTGGGTGAAAGAGGTGCGGTGAATGCCCGAGCACAGAAAATATCGCATACGGTGCAACCTGCAATTTTGTGCACTCTTGTGCTCCGGAAACGACGGTAAGAATAATCAGTGAAGGAGCGCCTCGGCGGGTGATTTCTTTCAACTGTCCTTCACCGATCTATCCTAGGCTCGCTAGGCTACTCGTGCTGGTTAGCTTCGAGTGCACCCTGGCAGGAACATGTCTCAAACTTTCAATGGCTTCTTTGACGACGTTTTGCCACTGCGGAGTTGAAAGCTATCCATTCCATACTCCAAGCACCTTTCATGGTATCTTGGACCCTCAAATTGTGTAATACGTCCTGCAACAAACATAAGCAATGATGAGTGCATCCCAATCAATGTCACGAAGTTACCTAGGTGACTATGTATGGAATCCGATTTGGATAGTAGCGAGTTGAACTGCAGGCCAGCCCAATTCTCCGCTCCGGCAGCGAGCGGCAAGTGTTCTCGAAGCATCCAATAGGAGGATCTCCATGCCGCTGAGTGGGCCCAGTCTTAACCCAATTCAGGAGTAATTAGTGGGGCGGACGTAGCTTCGCGATACAAGGGAAAATAGAGAGATAAGTAAAAAAAAACCATCAAAAGTTCCAGACCGCCCGGGACAGGAGCATCACCACCGCCGAACCCAGGCCGCAGCAGCAAGCAAGGGAACATGGCAGCAGAAGTGCTTCCCTTGGCACAATTAAAACTGCCGTCCGGGCCCAGTCCCGTGACGGCAGAGCAGCGGTATTGGCGATCGTTCAAGAACCAGAAATCGCACACGTCGACGGCGGCATGGCCCATCTCCCACATCAGCTTCCCCTCGACCGTCGCGGGCGGCGCCGTGTCCAGCTCGCTGGTCGCGGCCACAAAACTCAACGACCTATTCGCCGTTACGTCCGGGCCCCGCGTCGACATCTTCTCCATACGCAAGCGCGAGTTGCTCAAGACCATCGGCCGTTTCGACAGCGAGGCCCACTGCGGCGAGATCCGGGCTGATGGCAGGGTGCTAGTTGCGGGCGAGGACTCGGGCAGGATGCAGGTGTTTGACGTGGGCGGCGGGACAAGAGCCGTGATACTCAAGACATGGCATGTGCACAAGCAGCCCGTGTGGGTGACCAAATGGTCGCCGACCGAGTTGACCACCCTCATGAGCGCCAGCGACGACAAGACGGTCTGCCTGTGGGACCTGCCGTCCAACGAGCCCAGCTGCATGTTCACCGGTCACTCCGACTACGTGCGCAGCGGCGCGTTCATGCCCGGCGGGAACAGCAGCCTGCTCGTCTCGGGTTCTTACGACGAGACGGTCCGCGTGTGGGATGCCCGAGCGCCCTCCACCGCCGTCATGACTTTCAAGCATGCCGATCCCGTCGAGGATGTCCTCCCTCTCCCCTCAGGCACGACGCTCCTTGCCGCCGCGGGCAACGCCATCTCCGTCCTCGACCTCGTAGCCGCCAAGCCACTCCGCCTCATCACAAACCACCAAAAGACCGTCACCACCCTCTCCCTGGCCTCCAACGGGCGGCGCGTCGTCAGCGGCAGTTTAGACGGCCACGCCAAGGTATTCGACACGTCCGACTGGACCGTCGTTGCAGGCTCCAAATACCCGAGCCCCATCCTGTCGCTTTCCGTCATCGCGGCCGGCGCCGCCCAGGAAGACCGGCACCTGGCCGTGGGGATGCAGTCAGGGGTGCTGTCGCTGCGCACGCGTCTCGCAGGGGCAGCCGCCGAGCGGGCGCGTGACCGCGCAGCAGTAGAAGCGGCGCGCGACAAGGGCACCGAGGCGCTCGCGCGGCTCGACGCGCAAAAGGCCAAGCGCAAGCGCGCCGCCGTGACCAACAAGGCCATGGAGCTCCTCGGCGAGAGCGTAGACACCGTCATCCCGACGGCCGACACCATCACCGGCGGCCGCCGGCGCCGGGTCAAGCTCAAACCCTGGCAGCGCAATTTCCGACAGGGGCGGTATGCAGCCGCGCTCGACGAGGTCATTGACATGTCTAGCGCCGAGTACCAGCCCGTGACGGCGCTGACGGTGCTCGTGGCGCTGCGGCACCGGTCGGCGCTGCGCGAGGCGCTCGAGGGCCGCGACGAGATCACCGTTTTGCCGCTGCTCCGGTGGGTGGCCAAGTATATGTCTGACCCGCGGTACCTGAGCATCTGCGTCGACGTGGCGTTTCACCTGCTCGATTTGTACAGCGAGCACGTGAGCGGCAGCGACGAGCTGGCGGCGCAGTTCCAGGCCCTGCTCGGCAAGGTGTCCAGGGAGGTTGAGAAGGCGCAGATGGCGATCCAGACTAATGGTATGGTGGAGAGCTTGATGTTTGGGACTGTGCAGTGACGGGAGGGAGCAGGTTTGGTGCAGGCTAAGGTATGCGGACTGCCTATCGTGGGATCTTGTTGCATTGCGTCGGCGTTACTTGGTTCAGGCTGGGTGGGTATACAGGTACAGAAAAGTGAACAATATCCTGGGATGCATGTACAGTACAATATGTGGTTCTACATGGAATTATACCACTTGCAGGAGTCATACGCCAGATCTCAAGGAGGTTTTATTCTTCAGTTGTCTAGCGGAGGCATCCAACCAAGCATCCATACCCGGCTTACTCGCCCAAGTACTGGCACCTTTATCCTCGTGACGCAGCGTCTCAGTGTTATCATTTCAATGCATAGGCGAGGTATCTATCCCTCATCTCATGATGAAGCAATTAGATGCATCTGTCTATGACCTCCACACGCACTCAGGATCAACCTGCGAAAAGAAGGGAAAACCAGAAGCAAAAGATTCGAATGCGCCCCTTTCCGCCATGCCAGTTACCAGAAATCACGTTACGACCGCACGAGTAAACAAGCAACAAATCCGAACAATTATTATACAAACACAGCCCATGACCTCGGAACCCCGTCTCTATATATCCCCACCTTATCAACTCCCCAAGCCTCCTCGTCATGTCATTCTAACCCACCCTTTTCGTGCATCGTTTCCAAACCCATCATTCGTTCAATAACTCCCCGCATGAGCATGAGCATGAGCATGGGCGTACCCATATCCATTATGCTGCTGGCCATATCCCCCACCACCGCCACCACCATGACCACCGCCAGGACCGACAACGGCATGAGCACCAGCAGCGGCATGGTGTCTCCTGGACGACCTGCCCGTGCCAATATCAATCTGCCTCAACTCCTCCTCCAACGACGACAGTCCCTGGCCGCCGCCGTTACCATACACATCATAGCCGTCATCAAACCCCGTCTCGCCCCTCCTTGCCAGGCTGCTACTATGCAGTTGCAGCGCGCCACTCGTAGCCGACATATTTCCACCCCCACCGCCGCCGCCGCCGCCGCCAAAAGAAGCAGATGATGGCGGCGGCAGAGCAAGGGGAACCTTGGCTGGGAGCGCGGGCGCGGCGCCACGGTTGTTGCTGCTGCTGCCAGGACTGCCGCCATATATGTTCATGTTCTTATTCATGTTCGGGGCGTAGTTCTCGCTTCCGCCGCTGCTACCGGCGACGGCACCATACGAGTCAAATGTTGCTGCGCGGGGAATGTGTCTTGGCGGGGTGAAGTTATCTTGATGAGGCGGGATGGGCGCAAGAGGCGTGACCTCCACGCCGCTGCCACCACCGGCACCACTAGACCGGCGGAAGCCACTCGGTCCCACACCTGGTCCATTCGCCCCCGACATCATAGGAGCCATAGGACCGGAAACGGCCGAGGTAGATTGCCGGTAGGCAGCCTTCTTTTGCAGGCGGTTTCGGCCTGTTGACGAAGGGGAGGGAGTGCCCTGCTCGACATGGTCTGTCGCGGCATAGCCGCTGCTGCTGGGGAGCATGGACTGCGGGCGGCCCCCGACGCGCAAAGGGCGGCGGCCGGAGGATGGAGGCGGCTGAGGGCCCGTGAGGGAAGGGCGGGAGGAGGACGATACCGATGACCCTGGCTTGGGCTCAGGTTCTGGCGCCCAGGTTTCCATGGGAAGGTGGTCCGAAGGATCAACATGGCGCCCGTCATGTGTGATAATCTTGCCGCTTGTTTCGTCATAATCGGGCCGGGAGGTTGTTGTGTCCTTGACGGCGGCGGATGATGCGCTAGGATTCAAGGCGTCGTACGAGTCTGGACCAAACGGGATCCCGGATAAGCGGCGGTCATTGGAAGGCGGCGGTCTTGGGCTGACGGATTTGCGCCGGATTGTGTGCTGATGATTCGGCCCAGGGCTTGCGTCGCGAACTGGGGGGTTAGGGGAGAAGGCCCGCTGTCTAATTACAACGTTGACGCTGGAGGTTGAAGGGCCACTGCCGCGCGTGGCGAGGCTCTTGCTATGAGCTGGAGCAACATTGTATGATGCAGGGGAAACATCATGATTGTATTGAGGCTCCATGTTCCTGCCTCTGGGCTGCGCCTCTACTAAGGCCTGATCGTACCGATGGTCCATGGCCCTGCCTCTGGACGGCGTTTCGACCAAGGCCTGATCGTACAGATGGTCCATGGTCCTGCCTCTGGGCGGTGTTTCAACCATGGCCTGCTGCGTGTACCGCCGCGTCTGGCTGACGCTCTGCTGTCTGTCTTGGTTAATGCGGCTAGAAATCTCGAGAGCGAGATTTGGATCGATTCCAGGCACCAGTGACGGGGGCACCGGAGGGACAGAGTAGACATTCGGGGAGCTATCGGGCTCGGTCCGGTACGTCAAGTCTCCGCTATCCGCATGAGTGCCCTGGGATAACAGCGCGGGCTCAGAACGCCTGCCAAATTCTTGTGAAGAGCCCGGCACATCCCTTTCGAAAGAAGGCACCTGGTACCCGTTCGACCCTTGATGCCTGGGCTGGTCAGGAGGGATCGGAGCGTACTGTGCAGGCGCAGAGCCACCCCTCCCTCCAAGGTTGAGCGGGGCGGGGCTGGCAGTCATGTCGTAGCTTTGGTCATATTGCGCCTGAGACTGGGACGAGGGTAAGCGGCCTACACTCCTCCGGAACGGATTGTTCAGAGCCTCGGGCGATTCGGGCACATCCTCAACAGTTGGCTGCCTGGTCCGATGAGGTATATCAAACCCCGAATCGTACGAGTAATGCCTCGGGGGTGACGGCTGGTCTGTATTAGCATATCCGACGAGCGCTGGCGGTGCAGAGTCGTAGGCTTTGTATGTCGGCCGGCCAGGGTAACCTTCCGAAGCAGAGTGCCGATGAGCTTCATTTCTCAAGACGTCCTGCCGCATGGTAAGGGGTGTTCCCTTAGCGGAGATGTCGAAACCATTGTGGAATGTTGCATTAGCCGGCGGATTGCTGCCAGTCCTACTCCTATGAGCAGGTGGTGGCGGGGGCCTATCATCCCCAGGGGCCCTTGAGTTGTCGGCATGTGCAAATTCATAGTGATCGTTGCCGTAAACAGGCTGCGAAAAGTGCGGGCTGTAGTTCTGTTCGTCGGGCTGCACCCCGTAGCTGTCAATCCGCTCTGGAGTGCGGAACTGCTGCGGCACATCCGCCCGACGGGATGGTGTCCCAAAGTCACCGCTCGGTTGGCGCGTCGGATAGTAATCGGCCTGTTGTTGATAGTACGCTTGGGTAACTGTTGGCGGGTTCGGGCTGTATTCGGGCTGTTGAAGAGATGCTGGATTCGGCGAGTGTCGAGGGGTCGTATCGACTATCTCCGGGCCTGGCGACGGAGTGGTAGAAGCTTTGCCGGTGACCGGGTCCGAGGGCAACGGCCGACGCTTAGGCATGACTCGTGGGCCAGTAGCTGAAGGGCTCGCCTCGGCCTCGGCAGTGGCCGGTGTCGGCTTCGCCTTTACCACGGGCTTTTCGGGCTTGGGCCGAGTGTCGTAATAGGTAATCTCTATTCGCACCTCGCCGGCGTACTTGCCCTTACACCCGAGCTGGTGCCACTGGTCGCTCTGGCCGCCGCCAGGGACGATAATGTCGCGCAGATCGATCCATGCCTCGCCAATCAATTCTGTCTTCTTGTCGTCGTTAAAAACCGAGAGCTTCAGTTGGTAGTAGTCGGGCGAATCATGGACGGTAAACCTGAGCTCTTGGTCCCTGTGCGACGCGAAGGCATTCTCTGGTTAGCTGGTCCTTGTCTTGTGCCGGAGCGGAGGTGGTATGGGCAACTTGCCATTTCGGGGTCTGGCCACCCCGGATATCGGTCGTCGTCTTTCTTGCTTCCTTCCCCAGGCGAGCCGCGCAGTAGGGATCCTGCTTGCCGATTGTTTTGCGGTTGGGCAGGTTTTTGGCTCTGTCCACCACCACGACCAGGGTGCCAATGTCAGGCCCGTCAACACTCATATCTGAGAAGATGCCGGCCGTGTGCATCCCATTGAGCGGGTGGGGCTTTGGCTTGGTCGTCATTTTCGCTGTGTTGGCGCGCCAGGCTGTCTCATGGCCTGGTGCCTGAGGTCGAGTCGGTATTGTTTACTTTGGCGGTCTTTGTTTGCGATGCTATGTACCCCGCGAATCACTGCAGCTGGGCGGGGGAAAAAGCAGAAACAAGGAGCTAGACCATGTCAATTCAGGTCCTCAAAAACCTTGGCTAGTTGAAACCAAAGAGCAAACAAAAAGAGAGCGATGAGGTAAAGAAAGAAAGAGAGCGAAATCAACCAGACTGGTAACGACAACCAAGACTGACCACTGGAACTTGAGCTGATGCCCGCCGCTGCAGGTGGGGGTTGTTGATTGATGTGCAGCCGCGACCCGGCCTCGCTGTTACATGGCATTAGCGTTGGCTTCTCGTGTCAAGAGTGGCTGGTTTGGGGCCCAGGATTACGGTGGCTGGTTCTCTGCTGGCGCTAAACGGCACACAGAAACGGCGGGGCTGGCCACCCTTGCACCACATTGTGGATGCCTGCAGTTAATTACCTTACCTGAATCTCCATGGATTCTGGAATCGATTTTTGCAACTGATTCCATTCCAGACCTGCCCAGCCACTGTTTTCGAGGTCAAACCTATCACATACGAATATGAGCTGCAGACGATATTTTCTCTGTGAAGGACGTGCTCAGTCTGACGAGTTGAGCCAATTGCCGAAGACGGATACCAGTTACGACTGTAGATGTGAACCCAGCTCAAATTGAATTGGAGTGTCCGTGGTCTCCGGTCTCCGTTCTCGCGGGCTCCGGGCCGGGCTTTTCTTCAAAGTTGTCCCACGAACGTTGTTACTAATCCGACCCCTGATCTAATCGATCTTTGCCTCTCTGCGCTGGATTGAATGCGCCTGGCCGCACGACGTCGCTGGCAGGAGTCCTAGGAGAGTGGTTACGTTGCAGGATAACTACTCTTGGGAAGAAACAACGGCTGGGCCGAAACCTCTGCATTTATATGGCAGCTGCCGACGGCTTCGGCTCTCAGGCTAACCCTCCTACAAATAACTGCCTCAGGGATAAAACCAACGGGCAGTTCTTCAGCATGTCTCTCAACACTACCATCCGACCATCCGACGGTCACCAGGCGGGATGCTATTGCTACAACTATGACCTTGGAGGTCAGTGTCCCGACGATCTGAAGCACCGGGCCCGACAGACTCGGACAACAGTCGAGCTTTGACCTTAATACTTCCCCTACGAAAACGCCCATACCTCTCCTCACTTTAATCGAATAAATGCAGCCACCGTCTCCGCTGTTGAGAACCACATCATCCGATACATGCCCTCGCCTTTGCCAGGACCCCGTACATAAGGTAGGGCCTACCATCACCATGGCGAACATGTTAGCTTGGTTCTCCTTTCCGGCCGAGATACGCCTCATGATCCTGGAATTTCTCGCGCGGGAAAAACATGGGTTGGCCTCATATGCTTCAGTCTGCAGAGAATGGGTCGAGGTCATCGAGAAGAAGAACTTTGGCAGACTGAAACTCGGGGAACCTTGCCTAGACGACCTGGAACACATGGTCAGTCGACGAAGGGGGCTTGTTAAGCACATCTGGCTCAACATCGAGCTCCGGCGATACACGTGTCGATGCTGTGACATGGAAGAGTCTCGACCGTGGACTTCAAGCAACAACGCCATCATCACTCGAGCGATATCGAAACTCTTTGGCATCTTGGCTACCTGGAAAGCATCGAGCGGCAGTGGCTTGACCCTGGAGCTTAGCGCACAATCCCCAAGTGACAACCAACATTGGTTCAAGCATTTTTATTTCGGAAGCGAGTCAACCAACGACGACGAGGATGGGTATGCCGCATCCATTCTCGATTCCCAAAATGATGGACTGCATGAACACACTAATTATCCATACCATGACTTGATCGACGGCCGACAGGTCGTTAATCCTAGCGGTTTTGCCGTGCTGCGACTCTTTGAGCGGGTTGGGTTGAATTTCAAGGTAGAACTACCCACAGTCCCCGTCGTGACAAAGCTCGTATTACGTCGGCAATGCCGTCGTCGGTTCGATGGCAAGGCTCTGGGGGTGCGTCTAGAGAAGCTCCCTCGGCTAGAATGTCTTGTCTATGAGCCGTGGCGAGGGTGGCCCGGCGTTAAACAGCGGCGCTATGACGAAGGTAAGCAATTTTGTCAGGGTCAAGCCCTCGTCCTCGCTCGCCGAGTGTGGCCGCTTTCCAACAAATCACGACTCCAGCTACTAATCGCCCGTAACCGTAGGATATCGAGCCATGATCGAAGAGCATCTGCCGAAAGGACTCAACAGACTGTCAGTCTTTGAAGACTACAGCGACGACTTGATCCGACTCTTCAGAGACCGGGAACTGCATGGCAGGGTAGAGCGTGTCCGAACTCCGGAGCCTAAAGTTGGCAAGGCTTTTGCGTATCGAAGCCTCAGCCTCGAGCATCTTTCCGTTTCATTCATGGCCGATGCCCAGCATTTCTTTGAGGCGCGCAAGCCGCGATGGAAATGGAACCGCTTGCGATCCTTGATGCTCACGTCGCGGCTACTCACGCCGACGGCAGACCCCCGGAGGGTTTGCGATCTTTTGGAGAATGCCGGAGTAGCTGCACTTTACATGCCAGAACTGCGCAACATGACGCTATGGAATGGAGAGAGGGGACTGGCTTGCGCATTTCTGTACCGCCGGGATATGGACAGGCCCCCATCGATCGTCTGGCGGGGGACTTGGGTCGTCGACATGGAGCCTCGCGTCATCCAGGCTTGGGAAAGGGCCGCCGCCGAGCATGCAGGTGCTCGATGCACTCTCCGGGTGGAAACCCAAGCTCTGTGTTGCGATTGTGGTACGATCGGCTCGCATGGCGACGCTATCCATCACTTGGACTTGCCCCGCGAAGTGGTTGATCCTACTTGATTGTGGCAGATACGGAGAGAAGAAATGTTGAATCGGAAAATTGGGTTCCCTAGACGAAGACGACACTGAACGACTATCTCGGGGTCTACAATCGCTATAAACCTACATGCATTGTACAAATAAGGACTTCAAAACGGCCGTCCACTACGGCGATGGACGGGGGTATCCGGAGAAACAAGCGCAGAATCCGCCACACTATCCCGCAGTCCAGGACCGCTGCTTCCTCCTTCGCCCTCATCTCGCGAAACCGACGATGCCACGGTGGAAGGTGGCCTGTGGCTGTTCAGCCCCATCTCCCGCCTCCTAGCACTATCATCCACAGCCGCGGGGGTGGCCGGCAGCTCGTAGACGCCGCCCAGGGGACTCTCGATAACCGGAGGCAGCGGTTTTTGTATTTCGTTCCCATCCAACTCCGTCGTCGGCCGAACGATGGTATCGCGGCCATCCAACTCCGGTGTCGACGCACCTCCTGCCCCTGCCTCTGCGGCGGGACTCTCGCTGTGTGCGGTGCCGGATCCCGGTCTGCGGTTGTACTCGGCGGTCGATCTGGAGCCGCGGCCGCCGGAGATGTCGTCGGCCGAGTAGGGCACCGAGCCGTCTTGCGTCGTTGAGTTTGATCCGTGTCGAAACGACGGCGAGTTGAAGACGGGGCCCTTGAGCACCGATTCGTCGGGCTGCAGCGAGTCATGATTCCTCGCCGCTGCGGCGTCGGCGAACCCGGCGGCGAGCCATTTCCGCCGCTTGCGGAGGAGCACGATGGTCGCGGCTACGGCGAGAAGAATTCCGAGGACTACGGAGATTACTATGCCGGCGATGGCTCCGCCGCTTAGGCCGGATGAATTGCTTGAGGATGTGTCGGATGGTCCACCGCCCGTGCCGGCAGATGGGTCGTCCTTGGATGGGATGGTGACGATGTTCTCTTGGGCGCCCTCGTTCCAGACGCAGGCGGATACGTTGAACACCCTGCGCTCGTAGTCGGCGGAGAGGTAACTGTTGGGTGTTGAGTCAGATCTGGCGACGGCCATTTTGCGGGAAAAAGGTTAGGGGTATACGCACGCTTCCTGTAAGAAGGTCCGCCCCAACGTGTACTGCGACGAGCTGTTGGCGCGTTTCAGGGGGAAATAGTGGCTTGTATTCTCGACGAGGGGATTCTCGGCCGTGAGATCGAAGGCGGCGTAAGGGAGGACGATGGTCACGGTGTCACCTCCCGACTTGACGTCGGAGAGCCTGAAGGACACCTGTGCGTTGGAGTCGAGGAGCCTGTTTCTGTGCGTCTCGTTCACCAGATAGAGGCCGGTCTGGCTGTCCAAGGTTAATCCGAAGGCCTTCTCAAAAGCATCGCACGCCTCCGCAGGAAGCCACAGATTCGGGTCTGTCGAGTCGATGTATATGTCGATGGGGTTGGAGAGGAGGGTGGTCGAAGTTGATCCGCTGTAGCTTATGGACTGAAGAGCGACGACAAGGTCCCGGGTCACGTCGTCTGCCATGGTGAAGGATACTGGGGTTTCCTGGAATCGAGAGGTGTCGTAGCCGGAGAAGATTAACTGGCCATATACTTGCTTGAGACCTGTTTGCTTGGGAAAAGGGAGAGTTAGGTATGCGTCTTTCATGCTGACCCCATCTTTACCCCTACTAGTAGGTATCAGCACGTACGATACTTGGCACCGGCTGTGTAACTCCAGCTCAGGCTTGGAATCTTGTTTTGGTCTTTCAGTGTCGTGATGAACGAGGGCGATGAGTCGTTGCCCAGTACGCTGAAGTTCATGGGCTGGTTGTTGAGTCCAAATATGCCCCTGAGCACCATGTCAATCATTGATCCACGAGACCAATCCGAACCGAACCCAGTGTTACTCACAGATAGAAAGGTTCGGGCGTCGCGATGCCGCCCACAATCTGGTTGTCAAACCCAGGCCCTGTGAGTCCGATTCCAAGGTGATCTTCCCCAAACTGAACCCTCTGCTCGTATCCCAGATTCGCCTCGAGGCCGACCCCGTTCTGATTGATTCCGTAAAGGCCGATATCCTTCCAGGTCGAAGAATCGTTAGGGTTGAAGAGGTTACCCCTGGACACGGCGCAATCCGGAGGGACTGTAGCAAACACCGACGTTGAGCAACCCTGATCGGACAAGGGGATCATTGAGTAGGGGGAGGCCGTCGAGATTAGCACCCGTATGTACTGCTCCGGCGTGCCGACTCGGAGGTCGAAGGTGCTCCATGGTCCGTCGTTGCCCTCACTAGATACTGGTTAGTAGGGCGTTGACAAGATACAAGAATGGCACATTACAAGTATTGACTGGGTGGAATCACCAGAGGCCCAGGGCCGGCGGTGGCATTTTCGGAGGAGGAGCTGGTGACGAGAAGAGCGAATACTAAGTGTACTGCTGTGGAGCGCATCGTGGGTGAATTACACATTTAGAATAGTAGGTGATAATGTACATGGACTTTCCGTCGTTGGCTCAAGAAAGAAACCGCATTTCTACGGTTGCCAAATTCACAACAGTCTCAGCCCGAATTTGCGAACAGTACTAGCAATTCGAGGAGACCATCAAATAAAATGATGATAATGATAGGCACGAGGTGTTGATGTGACGAGCTCGAGGACGAGGTAGAAGCCTGCCGAACATACATCTACCATTGAGCCCTGAGGCGGCGAATGACGGCCGGCGATAGTAGCTCCCATCAGGGCAAATGAGAAATTTCTTCTGGTCCATGGGTAGTAGCAGAGTTGAATGCCACGCTGTGACGTGGGGTTGAATGGCTGGACTCGCATCGTGGAAATGCAGACTGAACCAAGGTTGAGGTTGAAGATGGAGACGTCACTCCGCAGCGAACCCCTGTCGTAGGAAGCTACAACAAACAACCCTGCTTGACCAATCACAAAAGGGCTCATGCCATTCTGGGAAAGTCCTCCTTCCCTGTCTCGCCCCCTGCTCTTACCAGGACGTCGGTTCTGGCCCTTTTGCCCGTTTTCTGGTTCCTGGTTCAGTTGCAGTGGCTAGGTGTATTGCGTCGGTGGTCCAAATGACAGCTGCACGAAAGACATGTCAAAAAACCAGAAACAGGAACCAGAAAGGGGCAATGGCACGACAAGTCGAGCCACTGCAGCAACGGTCCTGTCCCGGGATCCGTAACGAAGAAACCATGATTTAATCCAGGACTGTCATCCGCTTGTGCAGTCGTTCGCTTAAGCTTCAACTATTATCAACTACACTGTACCGGCAGTGCTCACACATTCGTTGCCTTCGCTCGTTCAATCTCAGTCACTGGTGGTCAAGAGTCGACGCCATGTTACCACCCTTCAGAAAACTAGCAGCGTTTGCGCTGTTGGTTCGAGGTATTGAAGGAACGAGGAATCAGGGTACGCATCGTGACCATCTTTGCTAAACTTCATGTCTAATACGAATATCAAGATCACCACGACGCCGATGTCACAACCGTCTATGATCCCACATGCACTGGCAATGTCACCGTGGTTGACACGACAACTGTGCATGTGACTCACTATGTCGATGTGATGGTGAATCGCACTACAACGAACACTGTCTCGACATGCATCACCGAATACACGACAACTACTCTGTTGTTTACCGTCGCCGTCACGGAAACGGCCACGAACTGGACCACCATCACAAATACAGACACGGACTCGGTGACCGTTACAACTACCGACACAGACTCGGTGACCGTTACAACTACCGACACAGACTCGGTGACCATCACGAACACGGACACAGACTCGGTGACAATCACAAACACAGAAACCGACTCGGTGACAATCACAAACACAGAAACCGACTCGGTCACCGTCACCAACACCGAGACAGATTTGGCGACCATCACAAACACCGAGACCGACTCAGCTACCATCACCAACACCGAAACTACAACAACCACGGTGCCGGCGACGGTCACAACGTACACAACGCAAACGATTTTCTCGACTACGGTAGACCCATGCCCGAAATCCTGCAGCATGTACGCATTCCGCCTGAGCCCGAGTCTCCTTTACTCTGCCCGGAACTTTCTTCCTTTGCTGACATGAAGACCCCTGATAGTTCCGCCGAAACGGTCAACTTGTACTTCTGGCCAACCGATAGACCATACACATACCCGTCCACATATGTTGACCCCAAGATGGATTACACCTTGTAAGTTTACCACCGTTTCTTTGTCTCCCCGACAGACAGGCAAGGGGCTAGAAACGGGTATGCTAACAAATAAACAGCACCTCACCATCTGTGTACATGTTCATCCCCACCGCGCGGGGGATAAACACGCGCGGCGAGCCGGCGGGGCCGTCCACGACGGCATGGATGCTGCCTCTGGACCTGTACGAGGTGTCCACCATTGCCCCGGGCCTGGGGGGTAACGTGACGCGCCAGCTCACCCTCGCCGACCTGGGCACCGACTGCCCGCAGACGGCCGACCCGACCGCCATCGCCACCATGGTGGACTCCCGCTGCGACCCCATGCTCGCCGCGCCCAGCCAGGTCCGCTCCTGGGCCTACCCGTGTAACGCCTGCGGCCGCTTCGGCCTGTTTGACCCGCCCTACGCCGTGCCCACCCTCACGGGCAGTCTAGTTGTGGTACCGCCAACGGCGACGGTGACGGCCACGGCGACGGCATCCCCCGCGCCGCCGGTTAGTGTCACCGTACCCGTCACCCAAACCGTTGTCACCCCGACTCCTCCCGCTTCGCCTCTCCCGCCTCCGCCCCCGCCTCCGCCCTCGGCTCCGGTTGACGTCGGCGTTCTCGTCGTGGCCTACTATGCCGCCGACGGCAGGCCGATGGGCACAATCACCAACACGGTCACGGGCATCAGCGGGACTGTTACGAACTCTGTGGTGCTGCCGGCTGCGGCCACGCTTTCTTCGGGTACCATCGGCACTATCGGGACTGATGTACCCGTGTCCAGCAGCTCTGTCGGCTCGGTACCGGTACCGGGTACCGCTACCAGCGGACAGCAGTCCGGACAGGAGACAGGCTCGAGCTCAGGGTCCGGGTCTGCATCGCCTGCCACGACTCGGACGGGCTCGTCGACTGGGTCGTCTGCGGCACAGTCCGGGTCTTCAGCGTCGGAAACGACGTCGGCTTCTTTGACTGCTGCGCCGTCGACTGCGTCGGGTTTGAGGGATAGTGTTGCAGGTAGCCTGGGCGCGTGGTTGATGGCAAGTGCCGTTGTTGTGTTTTTGTGGTTTTGATCTGGTCATGATGTTGTTGGTTGGGTAATTGGCATTATATGATGGACTTGATGTATCTGCTGCTGCCGCGGCCTTGTAATGATTTGGGATTCGCCCTCTCTAAGCGTATTAAGTAACCAAGATACCTTTGTTTATGTTTCATCTTGATAGATTCAGATCAAGAGCAATAATAAAAATATCTAACCGCAATCAGAGCCAGGCTTGTCTGCAGGTGACGTGAGTCAAACAGGTGTTGATATGTGATTGATACCTCATCCTTCAGTTGTTGCAATACGGCGAAAGGAATTCCTTGCCTGCAGAAGTACTGGGTTACCCTATATAGTACAACATTACCTAAGTTGCGTCTGGTGTCAGGTGGGTAGATCCTTCCTCCGTTCTTTCCAAACCTTACGAATTGCCAAACCAGAAGTGTCTCCAGGCTTACCTAGAACTTACGATCTCAGTGCCATCCGACTCCGACAAGCCAGGGCAAAAACTGGAACATGATTCTCAGCTGTAAATCAACATGATGCCCACTGGCCGTTGTTCGTCGGGCCTTTGAGCCTTTAACCCTGTTAGTGCTCCCTTTGTCCATAAACGTGCCTTTCAGTGGCAGAGACGAACACCCTCACGGCCTAGGTATATAGGGGCATCCTCTTGGCCCCCCGTCAAAGTTGTTTCTTCTTCACTCAACAACAGAGCTGAGATTCCCACAGTCGTCGATCTCTTGCCGAACAGCCCAGAGTTTTTGAGGCAACAACTGGATAGTACCAGAAACAATGGCGCGCGGGAACAGCGGCTTTGCGCTAGAAAGCGTACAGCTTGCCTGCTGTCAACACAGGACGAGAAAGGGGAACTTGCATCCGGCCTTATTAAAACTCTAATCCAGGACGAACTTCTCCTAGAAATCATCAGCTCAAAGGACGCCCTTGTAACCGCCAATCGACAAAACCAACAATCAAGAGCTCCTTCAACGCGAATCACCTTTCCACCATGGCTGCACCAGCCGACCGTTCTTCGAACCTGGATGTTGACCAGGAGCTGCTCGCAAGCATTGACTCCTCGATCATTGGCTATATTAGGCAAAATTCCATTGACCTTGACCCATCTGACATTGACTTCTCCCTGGCGCCTATCCCCGAAGGCGATGAAGGCTCGGAGGCTGTTCAAGCCATTGGGCCTGATCAAGGAGCCCACATTGGCCCTGGGCCAGACAGCAGGGGGCACATTCTGATGCCGGATCGGATCTACAAATATGAGTGGAATGTCTATGATCACGCCAATGCCTTCGTCGAAATGTTTATCGCCAGGAATCTCCTGGAGGTGTACGAGTTGAGGCAGCGATGGTTGAATGACAATACCATAACCGGCCCAAAGTGGAAACGGTGGACGGCGCTGAATCCAAAGAACGATTACGACTCTCTTCTGTGTCGAATCATGGAGAGGTTTGCGCCCAGGCCTCTCGCGTGGGGGAGGCTAAAGGAAGACGACGGGTACGACAATCTTCTCAATCATATAGCCGGACTCTTTGACTCCAAGGTTTTCGGGGATCAGTCTGTCTTCGAGCGCGAGCATGTAAAGGCAATTGTCGAGCGTATGCTCGAGTCTGAGAGACCCCTGTTGTCAAGGGCAGCCAGAAAACTCCTAGAGAGGCTGGGGCTGGGGGCCTGCGTCAGGACGAGACGCCCTTGAGGACATCACAGACTCGGAGGATCCCCTGCTTACCTAGTCGCTTTACAGATAGTGACTGATTCACATGCACTAACATTCACACCGCATCGCCTCATAGCCCGCGTAGCCATAGCTAGCTGAATAGATTGTCGACTGCCTATCAACTTATTGAACTAGAGAACTTTTAACCCCGTGATTATGATGAGTTATAGAGAGGTTGGAAACAAATGCCCATGTTGACGGCATGGTCCCGGCTTCCCCCTCGACATCGGAGCCTTTTGCAAGACACGGAGAAGATGAGAATGGTGGATGTAGTAAGTTAAGCTCCCTGGAGAAGGCGGGAGCATGAGCAGGTAGGAAGAAAGTAGGTATATTGTGCCTCGAGGTGACAAAAGGAAGATGGGAGCTTAAGATACTAACAAAAGAGAGCTTGCCACAGACTCAGGGGTTGTCAGGGATCTCTAACAGGGGTTAAGAGAGCCCCACAGACAGTGCCCAGAACTCAACAGAGCCCAGCAGGGTGATCGTCCCACCAGGTAATTACCCTAGGATTTTTCTAGGACTGTCACTAAATACTCTAGGGCGTTGCTTCTCTTATAAGCTACCCTAGTCTAGGCTCAAGACCTATAACGTCATAGGTTGAACAAGGCGAACTAGCTTGGTAGAGCCTCGTCTACATGCTCCAGGAGCCTTCAGTTCTACCGGCTTTGCGCTCATGAAAGGGACAGGAGCAGACTAGAGGCACAGCAATGAGAACCGTTCTCCTGGACTATGGCTCCTGTGCCCAGGGAACTGCCCGCAGTGCTAGCCATACATAAGTATGGTCAAGGTGAGTCAATGTACCCTAGTCAAAAGAGTACAGAGTGATTCTTATCTAAGGCAGGTAGGTACTACAGATACAGTACTCGAACGAAACCGACGAACACATGCAACAATCACTTTGTCTGGGGGGTCTCCACGTCGGTCGGCTGCACAGCCGCCTCGACCGCCTCAGTCGCACCGCCTCCCTCTCCCTCCCCCTTTTCATCCTCTCCCGGGCCGCCAGTCCGGCATCCAGTCAAATGCCCGCAGTCATACTGCCAGTAACAACGGCAGTGGTCGTAGCACCACCAGTCGTCCGACATGACCCAGGAACCGTCGCAAAACGTACCCCAGTTGCCCATGCACCTCTCGGTCTCCCCATGGGTGCAGTTCAGGACCCAGGAGCGCTTCGCCAGCACGTTGGCCGGGTTGCGAGATGTCTCGCTAGCGGGCGAGCCAACGGGTGCTGCGAGCAGCGGCCGAGCGCTCAGCGCAAGGCTGACGAGAAAAAGTGCGGCGTTGGTGGTCTGGGTTGAGTCCGCCTGGGTTAGCGTCTGGTTCCGGCACTGACAATGTGGTGGGAGATGGGCTAGGGAATTCGAATGCAGACGAAGATACCTTACCTTCATTGTTTGCGCACAGAGGGTGGTTCTCAAGAACGTCAGCCTATCGTGGCCGTTGATATCCAGCTGGATTTCTTCAAAGAGATGGCGGTGGATGTTCGACCTCGGCAACTCAGATACCGCAACTGGAGAGACGGGTCTGATACTTATACCTCAAGTCTGGACCGTCATCGCCGAGGCATTGCGACTTGGGCAGCGCCAACGTGTAGGACCTGTTGGAGCAATACTTGAATCGGGAATCTGCCGCCCTGTGCCTCGCCTTGGCAATATAGTTGAACTTCGACCCAAGACGCACGGCGAATCAAAGGGCTATGTTGAGCATGCAGGAACGACGTGTTGGGCCTGTTGGCTGCAAGACAGAGCCTGCGGACTTGAGTCGACGATCGAATGAGGAGCCTCCCATCAAAGGCGGTTGGACAGCGCGCGCATCATGATGAGCCAGATCCAAATGAAAAAGGGGCCTTTGAGGCCTGGGTAGTTGATGCAAGAAGTTCCAAATTGGTGGTCTCGGTGTTG